AAAAGAGGTTTTAAGACAGTAATTTCTATCTTTTACTGCAGTGTGTCAGTAGAAAATATCAGTTTACATTTCCAAACATTCATTTTGCCATTAATTGTAATAATCCAGTGAGATTTTTCCAGAGATCCAGTGAGTAACAGCCAGTGCTCCACACAGGGATCTGATCTCACCTTCCTCCAGTCCGTCTGTGATTACATGAAGAAACAGAAAAAACTGACGCGGACTAATTGTTTTTTTGTTTTGTTTTTGACTCCCAGAAACAAAATTGTGTCAAAACGACAAATATGAACACAAATTTCTCTGCTATACTGACCTGAGGAGGGCATCCAAAAACCTGTGAATGATGGCTGCTTTGCCTCTTTAACAATGTGATGTTTTAATGTTGTTTATTTTGCTGCCCTTCACAAAAACAGTGTTGTCAATAACTGCATACCGAAACCTCAACAACTGATCAAACCCCTTTGGCTCGTCTACGCTGTGGTATGAAATAATTATTACAGGCTGTTTAGACACCTGAATTTATGGTTCACATGGGTCGTGAAGCTCAAAAGTGTCGTTCTGACTCAATGTTCATCAATCTCATCAATGACCTTACGGCACCGACAGGGGACAGAGAGGCCATAAACCGCATATGCACACACACATTCACCTAGACATCACCAGTTTCAGACAGAGAACGTAATGCACAGACAGTTCCAGTGGGATGAATTACACTTTAATTAGCATTTCCATCCATTCAAACCATCCCTCTTTAAGTCCAGTCGGCCTTCTCTGGATAATCATTCATTACACAGAAACAATGTTTATGGTCTGGGGAGCTTGTGTGTCCTCCATTGGTCGGCTGTCTCTGCTTTCATGATCCCACAGGCTGAAATTATGTCATGTCATGTCCACATCAAGGTCAAATGAAACCTACTTTTGTTTTTGTTTTTTTACTGAGGCTAATATTTTTTTAGTATGTTTAATCAAAAAGTACACCTTACATGTGGTGGTTAGGGTGATGTTTGCAGTATGAATATAGAACATCTCCAGGTCGCATTTTACCCCAACAGACAAAGGACAGAGAGACAAATATATATGTATAGCATAAAGAATATGAATATTTTCTGCATTGTAACAATTTTAATGATGATTAAGCATACTTTCCCCACTAATCCTTATTAACTTAACGCATACGTACTGTGCTGTATGCATTGTCTTTTTAAACGAAAGCATAGACAATAACTGAGTATAAATGCTTTATGTGAATAACATCAGTATTTTTGTATTCATTTTTCCCTACAGCTAATGAGAGTTGTACGAACTAAAAAATTAAGCTCATAACTAAATAAGCACATAAATACATAAATATTTGGAGGGTAAAACATGAAACATGAAGTTTTTGCCTTTTCTTTTTTTAAGTGGTCTGTAATGTCAAAACTACATGCATCCTGTCTTAGTCTGGCTTATCAACCAGTGAATGATCATGAATGACCAGCTAGAAACCACATAAAACCATCACCTTAGACTGGATCCATCTGGATCTTCCGGCAGGTCATGTAGCTTTTTTTTTAAAATGTTTGTTGATTACTGGCTAAGAGAGTCCAACCATATGTGCCAAAGTTTAACACTAGTGTTCAGGGTTTGTTCAAATCACTAATCCTATAGGCCTAGTAATAATAATAGTCATGCAAAATACATCATCCTGGTTGCAACCAATTGGTCACCTATGCTATAACCAACACCATAAACCATCTCCTGCTTTACTGATTTAGTGATGAATCAATTAGTGAATTATTGAATTAGCCAGGGATTATGGGTCAGTGTTGACTGCCTTTGATGCTCCACTGTTTCTCTCCTTCAGTAAATCACATATGTGCCATGCATAAAGGCCACAGAGAGGGGTAGGAAATACAGTGAAAATGCATCACATTTGGTAAAGTTCTGTGAATATTGTATTTGTTTACCTACAAATGCTCCATTGATTGGACCCTTTTGATTGACTATTTATTTTATTCCTTTCTGTTTATTTCCAAGTTTAAATTAGATTTTGAATTCCATATTGTCTTGCTTTATTGGACACCACTGGGTTGAAGTTTACGTCTTTAAAACAGTCATTGCACAACCAGCTATAAATAAAGCGTTCGCTTCAAGTTTAGGTATACGAACATTTAAATTAGTCACTAGCGTATAAAAGTAAACATTAGCCGTTTTCTACATGTACATTCAGAAATCACATCTCAAGGATAGGCTGATTATTTATTGTGGCAGGGAAAAACAAACACAGCCCTTTGCTGACTCCAAGCCAATCATAATCATTGTGACAGGTAGCTAGTCGCTTATCTTGATTATTAAGCCACATTTCGCATCTGTTTGAGAGATTTCCCGCAAGCGTAATAAATGCCTGTCCCAAACGCAAACTTGCATTTAAAAAGAAAAGGCTGAACCTTTTTCAATGAAGTTTATTACTAAAACTTGGCCTTTTTGTGTGTGTGTTTGAGCTGCAGTTAAATTCGGGGACAGATGTGAATTTATGGGGCCAGTCTCTCATTCTCTTACCTTCCCATTAGCTTAAGTGACACGACAAGGCCGAGGGAAATCTCAAGCAATAAGGGTGATTACTTTAAAAGATCACACAATCTGTTCATATTCCCGTAATGAGTCTGATTGATTAAACTACAGGGTATAAATATTTTACGGGTTATTAAGTTATTGTTGCTGATTTGCCGGCTGACAAATTGGTAGAGTCACATTTACTTATTTCACTATGAAACTGACATTTTCATGCAGATAAAAGGGCTGGAGCTGAAAGCGGTGCCATGTGTAAAGTCGTGATATCTTTGATGCCATGTGCTCATGACTCTGGGTCAATGCAGTAATGGTTAGAAGACACAGGTAGTCAGCATTTCTGTCCATCTTCTTGTGCATACATGAGTATGATAAAACTGCCTGAAGCATTACATTTATATTCAGGATTTGGATATGTGTTTCTAAAAGGCACATTGAGTGTTCTGCTGTTAATAATATACTAGAAATCAAGATTGTTGGCGTGACTATTCATTTTTAAGATTTTTGGTGGTGTTTGGTAAGGTAAGAATCACTATTACAATTTGAAAGGTTTCAAGAAACCTCTAATCCAGTGGTTCTCCATAGTCCTATGAGTTCTCCAGTTGTTCATGATTTACTGGGCAAAGATTAAAGGGATAGTTCACCCAAAAATGAAAATTCTGTCATTAATTACTCACCCTCATGTCGTTTCAAACCCGTAAGACCTTCGTTCATCTTCGGAACACAAATTAAGATATTTTTGATGGAATCTGAGAGCTGTCTGACCCTGCATAGACAGCAATACAACTGAAATGTTCCCAAGTCCAGAGACGTAGCAAGGAGATCTGTAAAATAATACATGTGACATCAGTGGTTCATTCGCAATTATTCAAAGCTACGAGAATACTTTTTGTGCGCAAAAAAAAAAAAAAACAACTTTATTCAACAATTCGTCTCCTCCGCATCACCCTGTAGCCATTTTGGAGAATATCCGCTGGAGGTAAACAACGTATGCTGTTCTGTGTCAGCTACGTCACATCGGATACGCTGTTTTAGTTCAAATCAAATAACAAACAACGTAGGAAACAGATCCGGCGTGACGCAGCTGACACAGAACAGCATACGCTGTTTACGTCCAGCG